TCGACGACAGCTCAAAATTTTGACAAAAAATCTGTATTACGTAACTTGACATCTTGCAAGATAGATTAATGGCAGAAGATGTTTCACTAATTTTCTTGTAAGGGAGAACAGAGTGAGCAAGAAAAAGATGAGTGGACTTGGAGGCTTCAGCTTTGTCCTCTTGAATAAATTATTTTTCCATTAAATTCGCTGGTTTTTTCACTTTATCAGGTATAAACAGGCGAGTGTGATATCAATCATAGAGGAATGCCAATGGTTCGAGTTAAGACGTTAAAATGAAGACTGATTACCCGTTGGAATCGATAAGACCCGTGGGAGTGGCATTGCTTGGTCTCCACTATGTCCTAAACTTGGGGGGCTCTTCCCTCTTCAGGTTAAAAAATATATATTTCTTCACTTTGTACGAAAAGTTGGATCGTTCTGGAGTAAAAGACGGCCCGCTCTCGAGTGGATCCGTGAATTCATAACTCGGTAGAGGTTGGAGGTACGATTATCAGTTCTTCTTCCAGTGAGTGAAGCTCGTCGATTCGTCTTTCTTAAGAGTCCTCACGGGTCACGTATTACTCAGATAGAGTTTTGGAAGAATTTTTCGTGGAAATGGATTTTAATGGGCGCATAATCTAATGATACATGGCGATAAGTCGTTTTTTTATGAGATATTCACGCATTCATCTTGCATTCCCCGTAATTTTGTGACGGTCTATTTCCCAAATAATCTCAACAGAACATTCATTTAGACACGGTCTAAGGATTTCGAAGGCAGTGATTTGCCGATTTATTTTCTCCCTGAAAACATTTTCATCTCGACGTCGCTTGTGTTTGGTCCTTTTCAGATAAAAATAAACTGCGATTGCACAAAGAGACCCTCCAACGCTCCATACAATCATCTCCAAGAGCTCTATCTCTGATTGTTGATCCCCATCGATATTTATGATAATCTCAAAAGCGGTTATTTTAATGGTTGCCGTTTTAACAATTGAGAATTCAAGAAAATTACTCTAACAAAGTGCTAATCTCACTTTCTTTAATGCCTCGGAGAATGTTTGTTCCAGCTCGTGTTGCCCTGAGTTTACCCTCTGCATCCACAGAGTTCCTAAGTACGACTTGCACCAGGGGACGACGAATAAGAGACTCGCCTTCATAGTCGGTGGAAGCCAATTATTGCAGTCGCCTCGTTCTCAATAAAATTTAATGGCACAATTTCTAGGGAAACAAGAGGACCGCTGCCCTCCTAGATTCTGTAATTAGTTTGACACAAAGGGGACGCTGGGTATAATTAGGCAGACTCGGTGGTAATTAGCGAGAGCTTCACGACTCAACAATCAGTGAGTGTCTAGAATTAATTCACAAGATGTTGTACTAAAATTTTGGTATATTGGAGGAATACGGTGGGTGAATCATAAATTGAGATTGGTATGAGGATGAGCGGGACCAACCGATACTCTAAGAATTTCCTCCCTTGGGTAAACGGAAAGCAATAGCACTAGAGTTGCCATTAGGAGTCTGGAGCGAACGTTACAGCAATTCTCATCACCTCGCTTTTCGGCATTTTCCCACTTTCCCAAGATGTCGTGTAAATGGGCGGAAGTGGGCACCGTCTTTGGGTGGGGGTGTGCTAAACTCGAGTTTTCGCGTTAATTGAATTCCGTACCAAGCGTGGGAGTATGTTCATGTGCGAACGGGAGAAACCAACGAATTCCCCAGCAGGAACCCTCTCGATGGCTCTACGTACGATTAATTATTTCCTTTCAGGGGGTCATATGCTATCAAAGGCGTGAGATGTGCGAGAATAGCGAAATTGTTGAGGGGTTGTGATTTGGGGGTATGTAAGAAGTAAAAACCGCGGATTTGTGCAAGGAAACGAATAAATCATTGAATTGAGAAAATTTTTATGGAATTTTTCACGTATATTTTTTCCGGTATTTTTCTCCCCGCGAGACAAATTTTCATTTTTTTTTCGAAATATATTTTTTTCGTGTCCTGAATCTTATTGGAAAACGATTTCTTTCCAAAAAATTGAGTTTCGAATATTATACGTATGATGCTTAAAGTGTTCTTCGCCCATAATACATTTCTGTAATATCAGTGTGAAAATTGTAAAAAAAGAGTCAGGGGAAGTGAGTCAGGAAGTGAAAATATTGTACTCATTTGAAATGTGCAATTTCGTCTCGCATACGTGATGGAAAAAAAATTAACCGCATGGGAATTCATCTTACCGCAATATTTGAAGCACTATGAAATGCCGAGACAAGAATTGTACAATTTTTAAAAATCCACATTTCAAGGCAGAGATTAAAGCATAAAGGATAAAAGTACAGAGCGGAAATTTATGGGTTGCAATGAAACGGCCGGAAATTTAAATTGTCGGAACTATCAAGTCTCCACTTCAAATTTTACCCTCAAACATGGAATTCTCGACCTGTTAGTCGAGCCATTCTACCGAGAAAATCCCACGGAGTTCGAAATTTATCTACTTTTATTACATTCCCAAATGGTTTTAACTACACCAAGTAGAAATTTCTCTTCAGCTTGGCTACACTCTCGAGAAATAATGCAACAGGGGAATTGGAAAATTTTCCATTCCCGTCAGCGAAAGAAATTCTCCAAAACAATTCTGATGCTAGGCTTGAAAAAATCACCATTACTTCACGGCAACAAATTTTAAAGTAAAAAAATATTTCGATTTTTTTTAATGAGAAAAAAATGTCCCAATTTTAAGTCGCTTATGGCGTAGTCAGGGAAGGAATGGCTGATTATTTAAAAATACATTGATTTTTCCTGGAAATTTCTATAGAGGAACTAGGAGCTTGTAAACAACGGAAGCAATATTTAACAAGGCTATTCATGTATGAGATTAAATGGACTATCGACAGGTTGAACTTTTTTTTTCATATTGGCAACTGGTCGATAACACAAGGAAAGTGTAGGAGTTATCGCAGTCCCATTCAACTTCATGCATAAATAACAACTTCAGATATTATTTCCATTGTTCAGAAGTTGTTAGACTCCCTGAAATTGTTCACGCGGTTTTTCAACAAATCGAAGAATGCATTACAAAAAAACTACCAATTCCTTGAGTCTTTCCTCTCATCTCGGATTCTGTCGTAAATTCCTCAAAGTATTAATGAAATTCAAACGTCTGAAGCCATGTAAACAACGTTATGCAACTCTTAAACAACTACAGCCTGATAAACTTTACCCGTAACCCGTCAGAAGAGCAATCAATAAAATTTTATGGGGATATTACTGAGAGCCTGGATTTACTGAAGCGCTTCTATCCTGAGAATTTCAGTATAAGAAGTCGAGAGGAATAAACTGAAAGGCTTCAATGGCAATCAAGCTTAAACGAGCATCTACTGAGACTTTACATAACCTTTAGTAAACTGAACTGCATGATCTCTAGTAATTTACATCTCTTTGGGAAAATTAATTGCATTACACTGTAAATTGATCCTGCGATCCCGAGTGGAATCCAAATTCATTAAGCATTAGCAAATTGCTGGTACGGCAGAGGAAGATGGGGATGACTATATACTCGAATGAATAAGAAAATGGTCTCTCCAAGTCGGGGGGTATAAGATCGTTTCACAGACTCGGCCAACTTCCAATTTGATAGTTTCGAAGTGACTTGGTCTCTGCCAGTGTCAGCACTAGTTTCGTTGATGTAATTGATGATCCTATCGAATGGAATCTGCACATTCTACCAGTGCCAACGTTTTTCTTGATTATATTCCAAAAGTTTGTGCTTGGTGAATTAGAATTCATTAAGGTGATTGAATATTTTACTTTCACGAATGTTTGAAAATTTTTAAGAGTTCAATGCAGATGCTGACTATTATTCATGTGAAAAACAAGGGGAAAACATTTGACCTGAATTCGTATGACGAATGTTTTCTGTCCGGGACAAGTCGTTTCGTGAGTTAGTTTAATGGTTCTTTTACTGGATTTTTCATTTTTAAATTCAACTCGAGTCTCTGCGTATTCTTCTCTAGTACTTTATCAAGCTTGGTTGTTCTTGGTGAAGTATTAAGTGAATGCGGGAGAGAACAAGTTGAATTGTTTTCAAGGAGCTCAATTGTTTTTTTAATTGTTCGAGAACGAGTTTCGATCCTTTTTCGGTAGGCTTGGATGATTTATAATGCAATTGAGTTTCACACAATCATCTCACACACCAGTCGCTTTAATTCGACATTCGGCCCTACAACGTCCCGTCTTAACGACAACAGCACCCTTTACTCAATCAATCCAAATATTCTGTAAAGTGTCTACAGAACCTTTAACCTAGTCAAATGATTCACCCCAATAAATCGAAATGCTAACAGATTTTTAAATTGTTAATCTGCAATTTCCACGATATTCCAACGCAATATGCGAGAAGCGTCGAAGAAACGGAAAAGTCCTAAGATATTTTGCCCAGAGGGTCAAAACAGAATCACCGAAAATTCCTAATTTTCCCACGTACATCCTCACAGCCTCCCTTTCACATGAGAACTCATCCACCCCAAAGCGTCTCTTTGAAATTCTGATGGTAAAGTTTCTCCTACGCCATCCCCTCCTCCCCCCCCCCCGTGCTTTCTGAGGTGCAAAACTTTACGGTTAAGGAGAACGTTGAACTCCCATTTTAGACCCAACTGACACTGGTGTGAGTGCAGAGAGAGATTAATTATGACGGTGAATAGAAATCGTACGACTCTTCAACACACCCACACATTCAACAACCACTATAGCTCGTATATGTACATGCTAAAGGCAATTAGGCTAATGGTTCAACATATAGATGCCAATGTATATATACTTACACGAGGTAGTTGTCCTGGTCCCATGCGACTATTTCAGTGACAACAAAGGTGCCAGAAGTTAGTGCACGTGTTGTACCGGTTGCTGTGTTCGTCACCATAACCAAGTGCGACCAGTAGTCATTGTCCGAACTCTGTTTCTGAGGTAAAATCAGAATGAAAGTTTTACCATCTCTGCTGAAGTGTGGAGGAGTAAATTGTTCAATCCAACCGTGCTTCTCGTGATAGTCCAGTGCCTGAAAAAACATTGATTATTGTCAATGTCAATAACAATGGCGAAGCTTCCTGGGGTGACTGAGGTTGAGGAAAACAACAGCGAATTGCCGAGTGTCTATGGCAATGTACTATTTGGAATTGGGATGGGAAGCTCTATCGAAATGTCTTGGGCATGTACAAACCGTTGTGTAGACCGAGGTCTCAACGTTGTAGAGATGAAAATACGCGTGGTTTTGGACTCGGTTCATCCACGTAGCTGACACGAGGGTCTCAGTGGGAAAGGCAACTGCTGCCAGAATTCTCTCCGAGTTGGCCAACTGCGGTGGATACTTGATCTCGATCAGGCTTATGTTGTTACCACTGTTTTCCACTTTCTCAAGGTCCACGTAGAATAATTTCACCGTAGGGTTTGTTGTGCCACTCTGGAATACAAAGTATTGATTATTTCGGATTGTGCACTCTGACATGCAAGGAAGGATTCTGCTTATTAAACTTTCAATATCTCTCCAGGGAAGTTGTACGAATGATTTATCGAATTATATTCTCATGCTGGTAGTTACACCGATGAGTCATATGAGTGATGAAATTTATGTGTTTTTCATAATTTAGAGTATCGTCAAATGCCAGTCAATTTAAATAATGCATTTGATACGAAGTGTGACTTAAATCAACAACCGGGGAATGTATCTGACATGAATAGAGTTGACACAAAATGTCATTCCGGCTGGGTAAACTAGTGGAAATACTATCATACTTCACGCTTTCAAACATCCCCTTCAACTTCTTTCGAAGGGATAACACGTTGTGAAACTCTTTTCAAGCATGTAGAACACGACTCGAGTTACCCTGAATGAAAATCTCCTCGAAATTTGGACAGAGTCAATCAACTATAATTGAATGTCTCCACATCCAGCAGAAGTGAAGCTCAACTATAATCAAGCCATTCAATACCTTCGCCGATATAATCCTTTTCATAGGACATTTTGAATAGTCTCTCATTAAAAGTAAAAATCCCTGAATTGTCACCAGCTATGATTGAAATTTGTCATGGATATGGTGCGGTTATAACGAAGAAATTCACTTGAGAATCCACTTCCCGTTTACAAAACCAGAGCTTCATTAAAAAATGGAATATAAAGAATTCTCTCATCAAGATAATTTCCGCTCAAGAAAGTCCTAAGATAGTTGTATTAACTGCGAATATTTTTTTCATCAGCATAATTGTTTTTAATATTTTTAATGATGGAGTTAGAGGAGCGATGAAGTCACGGAAGTAGATGATAATAAGGGCAGGAGGCCATTTATTAACAAATATTTAACTTAATTCTATAATTTCATTTATTTGCATTTTATAATTCGTTTCAAAGGAAAAAAGAATTCCGCTAACTGTCACGAAAAGGATGGGCGCAAATGGAAAGGTTGATTACATATAAATCTCAATTTCCCTCTTCGTTGAACTGTTTATTCTAAAAAGACAATTTTCTTGCGAATGTCATGAAAGCAATATTGGAGAGAGGTACGAGTATCACATCGTATGATGCAATAGACTAGAAATTGAATGAAATTGCTGGAAAGGAGAAGTGAGGAGAGCCCTGAAGTCAAGTGAAGATGACAGTTTTTCCTCGACTTTCCCTCATCCTTTCTTGAGTGGTATCAGGATTTTAGAGGGAGAGTCCCAATACAATGTTGAGAATGGGAAGTCCTTTAAAAAACAGAATTGGACGTTTTTCCCTTCTTCACAGGATTAACATAGAAATGGATTTGGTACTCCATTTTTTTTCCCCGTGGAAATTTGAGATGATTGACAACTATTTCATTTTCATTGTCACAAATATTCGTAATTATTCATAAAAAAAAAACGAAAAAAAGCAGAAAGGAGTTACTCGCCTACCGAATGGAATGAAAATACTCTTGTTCTTATTATTGACTTAACATCGATGCATGACATTCATATGGAACAACATTAATATCCAGTACGCAATGTTAATCGAACCATTAGGATTGGTAACTACTCGCTGAGTGACGAACTGCTATTCCATTCCCTTTCATCCTATGAACCTCGCTATGACCCGTAAATTCACCTTTGCACTATTCTCGTGGACTACAATCTCGTCAGTGTTTATGTTGAAATACCATCGTAAACGTTCGTGTTCTGAATATTTATATGAACTGAAATTTTTTCACGTATGCAGATGAACATGCTCCTCAATCAAAATATATAACCGAAATTCACTAAAGACGCACCTGTGCTACAATAGCACGAATAATCGGATTCATCGGTGTATTTCTTGAAAAAAAAATCCTACCCGATTGTTCAACTGTCCTCTAATTTAATTTTCTTTATTTTACAACAAATATTTTGTTGCGTCGTTCTCATCTTTTTAATTTCTTCCGAAAAATCGAATCTGCGAATTTTAAGGGAACATACGCCGGGCGTACTTTGCCTCTGTTAATTTGACGTATAACACATAAAAATGTTCTTTAATGTGGAGAGCCGTTTAATATGAAGGGTATGATGTTAAATGTCGTCAGGTTGAAAAGAAAGTAGCTATTAAAGGGGCTTTATGGTGTTTTTCCCTCACAGCGATAAAGTTGCAACGTTTTGTCATTTTATGAATTTTTTTTTTCAACTTTATGAGGGTAAGGTGGTTTTCAGGGGTGTAGAACTAATCAAAAAATGGTTTGGAGTATGTAACATTAGCATGGTCAGAGAAGTGTTCTCGTATAAGTTGCGATAAGGTGTTGTCCTCGAAAAACGAAGAAAAAGTCTCAGTTACGAGCGTCAAAGAGCTCCTTAGAGCTCAAAAATACGAAACTTTACAACCTAGGCTATGTATAACAGGAGGTACCACGAGACTTTATTAAACCAAACCCTCTTACCTTGTAAGAGGGGTTGTGAGTCATGCTGGAGCAAGTGTACAGCATTTTTGTACTTTTTACGATATTCCTAAATGAAGGGATAAAAGTGGCGATAGAAGTAAAATTAAAGGCACACGAGATGGAGAAATAAATGCAGAAGAAAAAAAGTGCATCATATCCTGAATAGATTTACGACTCAACACGTGTTGTCGGTGTATATTTTTTTTCATTTACGATCTGAGGCCGAAACGACGGGCAAGAGTGAACGTTTTACGAGGAGGAAATAAAAATCTTCAAGTCTCTCGGAGACTTGGGCGTTATGCTCGCAATTGTGTAAGAATTAGAGGGAATAAAAATACCAGAGTTGCACGGGTATAAAAACACCCGGACGAGTAACCAACTTCATGGTGAACAAATAATTAAATTATTTTTATGGCAATTAGTTTGCTGATAAAATTACTCATTTGATATGGAGTGACTTCTGTTTGTTCTTTTCTCCTTAAAAATTGGTGTTAACAATTTTCGTATTAATTTTCAGGTCGCAATTCAATTTCAGAAATTCTTATCATTCTCAAACTTTACGGGCATTTCAATTCTACAGATAGTCGGGTAATAAGGACAGAATGAATCAAGAAAAGCAACATTAAAATTTTTTTTTTTAATTGAAAAAAAACTTGACTCGCAACCAAGAGCGACAATGACAAAAATTTTAATAAAAGCGTTTGTTAAAAGTTGGAATCTTCATTATTTTTGGAATTTAAAACTTGTTCGCTGTGACTTTTCCATTTTAATTTTACACGTTGTAACAATTTTCCGTGAAAAAAAAA